CTTTTAAAATCTTCATGAACAATATTTGATACTGTTTCCATATTTTTTCTATTTACACTGGCACTGAGTTCATACTTAAAACAAAATATTAAAACATTATTTGTTCATTACATAGAATGAATATTGACCTTCCTAGTCATGTTTAAATTGGTTAATTACTTGGAAGATAAGCTATTTAGGGTATACAGAGGGCAACAAAATATTCAGGGTATACAGGGCACCCTGTTTTTTGGCTGGAATGGTTCATTACATTTTTTTTTTACTTGAAATGACAGCAGATATCAATTACAAACTTCATTTTGTATTAATTTTATATACTACCAAAATTTAAAATCTCATATAACTTTTATAACATTAATATTTCAATAAATATACACAAAAAAAAATATTCGTGCACTAGAGCTAGTATTAATAATACAATAATTTTTGTTATCAAAACAGTTTTCTAACGTTCTATTAATAATCCTTTACTTCAGAGAACCAAGTGATAAAACTGCTCAAGAATGGCTTGTTCAGTACTAATGAATATTTCTTGGCAATGGGTAGTAGATCCAAAGAATTGAATTCTCATCTTAATGATGACATTGTAAAACATTTTCAAAAGAGTTTAAGTTTGTGAAATATTGGAAAAAAGTTCGGATTACCTTATATGATAGTACATTACATTATAAAAATATTTAAAAACGGATTAGTTGACAATAAACCCCGCCCAGGGAGAAAAACCTTTTTGACAGTGCGAGAATCTCGTGAAATTGTACATATAGTGGCAACAAATTCCAAATAAAGTGCTCGGTAGATTTCAGCTCACATTGCGTCAGCTTATGGGAAATCTTTAACAACTCAAACCATGAGGAATTGGCTACACTGGCTATAGAGGTAGAACGGTAAGAAAAAAACCTTTTATAAAGGAGAAAAACAGAAAAAAAAAAAGACTGCAGTTTGCCCAAGAACATGTAAATAAATCCCACACGTTCTGAGAAAATGTGTTGTTTTCAGATGAAAGAAAGTATAATTTATTTGGATCTGATGGAAAAAAATATGTTTGGAGGAAAAAAGGAAAGGCATTTGAATCCCAAAATCTGCAAACAATCATGAAGCACGGAGGGGGCAGTGTCATGGTTTGGGGCTGTATAAGTGCCAAAGTAGTTGGTGAAATAGATATTATTGAAGGGATTATGAATGCTGACAAATATGTGGATATGTTGCGATGTAATTTAAATAAAAGTGCGCAAAAGTTAGGAATGGAGGACACACATATGTTTCAACAGGACAATGAATCCAAGCACACAGCCAATAAAACCAAAGAATGACTGCTATATAATGTTCGCAAAATGCTCAAAATACCTCCACAATCACCGGATCTTAATCCAAATGAAAATTTATGGGTGCTGCTGGAATTGAAAATCCAACAATATTTCTTTTTCACCCGGAATGACTTAATAAACAATCTTACAAAGGCTTGGAAAGCAATTGGACCAGAGGAGACCAAGAGGCTCTTGGAATCAATGCCAAGAAGACTTAATGCTGTGATAACCGTGAAAGTTACTCTACAAAATACTAAAATTAATTGAGACTGATATTTATTATATTTTCTTTGGGTTAGTTAAATGTACGGATATATATACATTTTTTTTTTTTTGTGCTTCATATTTGAATATTTTTCATACAATATGAGTTATAAAATTTTTCTTTTTTGTACAATTAATGCAAAACGAAATTTCTAATTGTTATTTATAGTTGTTTCATGTTAAAACATAAATAAAAAGATTTTTTACTAAGAAAAGTGGTGTAGGAATACTTTTATTGGCCACTGTATATTAAATTTTAAACCCAAGTAATATGATTAAAATTGAAGGTAGACCAATGCAATAACTGGAAGCATAGGCGCAGACACCGGGAGGAAGTGGGGGCAATCGCTCCCCAATAAAAATACTAAGGGAGCAAGAATATCATTAAGTCTCCCTCCAATAATTTGAATTAAACAAAAATTAGTAGAAAAAGGCCTTTTCTGTCTTGATAAATAATAACTTATTTCAAATTAATCCAAATTTTCGCCTCTTCAGGCATTTGCAGGGATAATCTGATTTTAAAAATTAAAATTCATAATGAATAATCTATAAGAATGAATAAACTATGTAGAAATATATTTTAGGGTTGTTTTGATGATTTAAGTGCAAAACATTTAGGTCAAGTGCCCACATATTCTAGGATTTTATTATTCATTCACCTCTTTTGAGCACTCCTCCATTTTCACATGGTATTCGCATCTGATTTTCCATGTTAAAGTTGAACAGCATTGGTGGGAGTTTATCTGACTGCTTCAGACCTCAAAATCTTCAGAAACTCCTTGTATCAGAGCCCAGCATTTAGGATAATCTGTACATGTCTTCCTCAATCTCCCCTATTTACCGATAACTGTTGACTCTGTCATGATCTTCCAAAGACAGTTTTTCTCCACAAAATCATGAACTGCATTAATAAGGCATGCACATTCTCAGCTTCTTCTTATCGCTTTTCAAACACCTGTTATACATCCCTTTCTCTTCTATCTCCATCATGCTTGGTGGTTGCCTAGTATATTTTCATATTTCAGCACCTGGAAGAAGCTCTTTGTCTCTGTAATTACAGAGTTTTTTTAATTCTTTTTTCCTCCCACATTTTCTGAGTTAGTTGTAATAGCTTTACCTTTAGATGTTCTGCTGTATCTTTAAACAGCTTCCAAGGTAGGCTGTAGAAGAAGAAGAAGAAGAAGGTAGGCTGGGATCTTCTTTTATGTCGCTTGCTATTTCCATATCCACAATATTAACCTCTTATGGATCAAGATCCTTGGCATAGTTCATGTCTTCTGCATTTGTGAGTTTTCCATGATTTAGAAGATGCTATAAATGTTTTTACAGATGCTCTCAGATCTTATCTTTTGATATCGTCAGTTTACAATATTTCCCTCTCTTTCATGTGTTTCATGATTCATATCATGTCTTCTTTCCTGATTTAAGCATAGAATTTTCATATATTTCCAGACTGCCATATGTCTTTAATGGCTCACAGTAATATTTTCAAAATTATTTTATTTGCCTTTCTCCTAGTGGGTGTTATTTGTCCAGAGTAACTTAATCATACCTCTTTTTCTTTGGTACACTATTTTGGTTATTTGATTCCTTTGAGCCTCTGATAGAGTTTGATTCTAGTTATACTCTTACTTAAAGCTAAAGGGCTTACCCAGTGAAATTATGGATGTTATACTTTTATTGTTGATATCGTAAAAATATATTTTATAGACATTTTAACGTAAATAGTTGGAAAATTTATAGAAATGTACCTATGTTATGGAGGCTGTTTCCCTTCTCCCATGTTTAATGTGTACAAATATGTATTCAATTTTTTTCTTCAGATATTTCGAATATAAGCATACGCAATCAAAAAAATGTATATAAACGTATATATGAATTTATTCAGAATTATATTTTTTCATTTTACAATAATTATGTTTATTTTATATAATTATATTTTTATATAATTCTTACACATGGTATAAACTCCCACCATTTTTTTTTTTTTTTTTTTCTGTCCACCACCCACCCCAATCAAAATGGAAAGTCTGTGCCTATGACTGGAAGATATGATAAAACTTGACTTTATGAAAATGGGACCCTTATTCTATTCATGATTGAACTGTAGAGTTCAGAATAACAGATAGGCCTTCTCAACATGAGATGACTGAAGGGGGTAGACTCTAATTCTCCCCCTCCTCCTTTCAATCTCATAATCACCACCCCACCCTTGATCTTAGTTGGATCAAATAGAATTCTATAATTTAAACAAAGACATCACTATAGTTTCTATATGGAAGAAGGGAGTACTCCCTCTCCAATATTTTGTAAGTAAAATGTTTAAAACCAACTATTTAAATTATGAAAGTTTTTTCCAACTATTGAAATAATGAAATTTTGTTTCTACTATTGAAATTGTTGAGAAATTTTGTTGCTATTATTGAAATGGTTTAGGGAAGGTTATATTTTATCTTATCCTTTCCCTCCCCCCTAAAAAAAAACCTTGTAGTGATATTTCTGATATATCATTTAATACACTAAATATTACTTACTTCTTTATTTTTTACAATTAACTAAATTAAAACAAATTTATCTAATACAAATTTGACAATACTTGAATCAAATTCAAGCAGATGAATAGATTTTTTGTATTTTTGTTCACTATAATTAAAAAATGGAAATCTCAACTTTATTAATGGCCAGAAGTGACAACCGCTCAGCAATCAAATTTAATGAAGAAGGTCATCGATTATCATTGATCTTGATTTATATTGATTTGGCAGAAACCTTTTCTATCTGTATCTCTCCTTTTCATGACATCTGTCATTTCTAAAGATAGTTCATGAAATCAGAGAGTATTTGAAGGGCATTGTGGCTGAGGGGATGAGGAAATATATATTTCATTAATAGAAAATTAAAAAAAAAATGTTGATAAGTGAGAAACATTACAATGAATCAATAAATTTAATACTTTATTAAAGTTAAAGCTATTTAATATTCATTGTCATTCCTAATTCCTTCAATTCATTGTCAAGATATCTTGAAGAAACTTAAAAGAAGAACAGGATTTGAAATATTTTAAGGAGCATGGATGAGAACATGAGGGGAAAGGAAAAGTATAAGACTTTTGTATTTAATTCTATGTATGTGATTGTTTTTCTAGTTTATTATTCTATTGGTTGAGCCAATGTTAATATTTATTTGCTGTAGACAAGGCCTAAATAATGTGAACCTTTATCTAAAAAATTTAGGAAATATTTAAAATTCAATAAAAAATTAGTATTTGCAAGCATATTATAAATAATTAGGATCCCTTAGAATCCTATAAATACATAGAATAAACATATTTTGATATTCTAACATATTGCAAATTATATTAACTAATTTTAAATCATTGATTAATATGAAATGATCCATGGTCCAATACTGCTAACCATTTTTCTCTCACAGAGATGGAGAGATGGGCGAGAAGACTGGGGCGGAAGGAGGCTTTTGATGTCACGTGCTCGAATCAACTCGGCGGTCTATATTGGTGTCGAGGCTGAGCCACTGTTTCCTTGTGGTGGCAGAAGAACCAGAAGTGCTGACCAGCTAGTACTTCCTCTTCTTTCGGTGTCTTCTGTACCACCTGAAGAGAAACCAACGGAGCAACATCTTTGAAAAAGACTAAATATTAATATTTGTTTACCTTACTTTTATACTTTGAGCCTGAAAAATATTCACTTTTAACTAAAGATAAGTATAATATAAATATTTAGCGTATCAGCAGAAAGAAAATGGAGATATTTCTACTTTTATTTATTATTTATTGTATGAATTAACAATAAACTACACTTTGAGATCAGTGGATCAGATGGTTATACTAGAGGACATGATGTTGACAAAATTACTACTCTAATATTGAAGTTTGAAATTATTGTAATGTCTAGGAAATTCGGAATTTGTTAAGGAGAAGAAATACTTATGATCAGCTTGTAAAGTTTAGGATTATATTTAAGTAATACAATTGCTAGGCTTGAATGTTGTTCTTTTTTTATTTATTCATTTTTTATTCAATTTTTAGTGTGATAATTTATAATGTGTGCAATTTATATTTTACATATTTTCATAATTTGACTACTTTCATCCAAATCAGCACAAAACATTGATTAATGCATAAAATTATTTAAAATAAAATATGCTCATTGCTTCTCCTTCATTTATTAAATTATTATTTATCATAAATAATACTGAAGTCATTAATATTTTCAGATGCAAAAATAAGGCAATATCAAATCATTTGGTACAATTATTTGTTTTTTGTTCTTCAATTAATTTATTAAAAAATAAATAATGAAAATGGGATTTATTAATAAATAAATATTCAAGCTTTATAATTAAAGGTACATTGCTGCTGGTATTAGAGTTTATTGGATTCTGATATTGCACTAATAAATATCATACTATGAAAGAAAGAAATTCTACATTTTACTTCTCTTTTCTACATAACTTTGCTGAATTTTCATAAAAGTTTTACTGTCTTAATGAAATTTTTTTTTTAATACTAACAATAAAAATTATTCAATGATTATACTCATACATAATTTAGTAAAGAACTGTATCATTATTCCAACTGTTAAAATTTAAGTTACCATTTATATATTTATTTTGAAGAAATTTTACACAATATCGATTATGACTGAAATATAAAAATATAGATTTCAGTAATAAAAAAAATATGTATGTACACTGGTGGCCATAAAAACTGATGCACCTTAAATTTTGTTGTTATTTCTTTTCCAAAACAGAAAAAATGTTCAATTTTTTACCTTAATGTAGTGTGACATTTTTTGTTTCTAGGAGACCAGATATAATATCAATAGAGGAAAAAACCAACTCAAATCCATTTTAAAAAATCTGTAATTTAAAATAAAGCAAACGGACACTCCTTTAATAAAAAATAAAACGCATCTAATTCTTTTTAAAATATTAAATCAGAGTCTCTAGTACCTAGTGTTGCCTCCTCTTACATGTATAACAGCCTGTACTCTCGTAGGCATATTGAGAATTTTTTATTTTCTCTTCCTGCTATATTACACTGTGCTAATTGCTTACTTGGTTTTCTCCACATTAGAACTCGTCCGTCTGCACCATAAGGGCTATACTTGGACTCATCAGCAAACAGATCAGAGGCCAAATCATCTGTATAGACAGTATGTTCAAGACAAAAGGCAAGGCGAATTTTTGGTGTGCTGTGGTGAGTTGAGAACCGCATGCATGAACACTAGTGTGCAGGTTGCGTTTAGCAAACCTTCTCCTTATTGTGTGCGCGCCGACATCCACACCCTCAGCAATATACAATCGATGAAAAGTCTCACCTGAAGTCTGGTAGCAGTTTCTGAGGCTCTGCATAGCAATGAAGAGGTAATTAGCTGGACCTGTTGCTCTCAGATGGCCTGATCATGGCATCATATTGTAGCTTTCTGTCTCTCGGTCCTTTGGACGGTCCACGGAACTGTTATTCCAGGTAGCCTGTGGACTCAGGCCAAGTATTGATAATTTATCCTGTTCTCAATTAACACAATAATCTGAGGTACTGCCACAGGATTCAAAACAATTTTACACTCTTATAAATGTTCAATACAAATAAAATATTGTATTCAAGAAAAAATAAACAACAAAAGCAAATCCAATGCAATTGAACTTGCAACTAGAGAAAAATTAATATGAAGTCCACTTTTTATTTTAATACTTTTATCATAAATCCTAGAGAGAATCATGAGATTTTCTCAACATTATTAATGCATGGTAATCTCTTTTGACCTGTCATCCACTCGTTATTACTTCAGGATCAAAAATATTTCTTTAATCTGCAGTTTTATGTAAAATTAAAGGTGCACGGGCTTTTTTGACCACCAATTTAAACAATAGTACCTACATTGTGCTAAAAATACATTAATATTTTATTGAGTAAATCATTTATTGTAGGTTGTGAGAAATATTTATAAAATTTAACCATAAAAATAAAACAGAAAATATGTAATAAAATTAAATACAGGTGCTAAAACTTAAGACAATGAAAACGACGATTTGTATTAATAAATCACTTACTATATGATTGATGAGTTAATATAATTTTTTTTTTTATACTTTGCTTCTCCTCCACAACTTTGCTTATAGGTTGAAAACCTGAAGTCTGCATAAAATTGTGAAGGATAAATTCAGTATAATGAAGACATATAATCAAGAATGTAAACTAATTAAACTTTTTTCCAACCAAAATTCAATTTAGTATACACTAAATTCTTTTTTTTGGTAGGAAGTCTTACGATGAATATAAATACTCAAATAAACAGTTTAGCTACATAGCCACTTTAGATATTTAGACTCTAGAAAGCTATACTATAAGTCGGCCAGAAAAATTTAGTTCATCTTTTTCCAAGATATTCTTGAGTTTTCTTACAGGTATTCTAAAATAAACTCATGGCTAAAGTTTAGTTTATCCAAATGAAACAAAAAATTGCATGGATTTATTTTTTAAAATTGAATTTATTTTCAGCTCAATTTATCCAATTTTCTTCTTTGTGGCTGTTTGGCATGAAAGTTCTTTTTTTTTTTTCTTTTTTTTATAACTTCAATAAAAAAGTTATTATTAATAATAAAAACACACATTTGATCACAATAGTACTACTTTATTTTGTAATTAGAAATTATGAAGTTATTAAAATTTGTTAAGTTTGAAGTGATTAGATTTTGTGCTAAGGTGAAGTGTAGTTTTTGAATTGCCTGTAATTTTATACAGTCTAAAGGATATGGAGGATAGTGAAAGTTTAGTGACTTGAGTGAACTAATTTGATAAAAAAACAAAAAACACTTCCATTATAAAAAATAATGTTACAATAATATATATATGAAAATCCAAGTGAATCTGTAATGGATTGTAATTTTATTTTTTATTGTATTTTTAATTTTCATATCAATTTTGGTCAGTGTCATATTGGTTTATAAAACTTTATTGTAGTATAAATCATATATTTTCAAATATTGTTACTGTAATAGTTATAATTCTACCTTCTTTCTGACCATATTTATTATTGTGGTTTGACATCGATTGTACTTATGTAATTTTTAAAGTAGGTAATAAACCTGAATAACAGCTGGTGTCAATGTGGGGGATCAAAATGATTGTCAATTTTCTGTCTAAAATTTTATGACAATGACTTTCGACAGATGTAGAGGTTCCTCTCCTATGTTTCATTGGATATTTTCTGTACCTGATTACTTAACTGACCTAAAGTTATGTATATTTTTAACAGCTGTATAGCATTATTATTTTTTGATCTGGTTCTAATATGAAGTTCTTTGGTTTATCAAAAATGTTGATAATTGCCATTGCTGATACAGAAGTGGGTCAGTATAGTTAAAGGTACAGATACATTGTGTGAAAGAAGGTAACTGTAAAATTTCAAAGAAAAGTAGAAATAGCCTCATAAATCTGTAAACTTGAGCAATTCCTTGGGCTAGCATTCTTGACTGAGATTAAGCAATTTTCTTGGATTATTCTACTAGCAATTAACTGTCTTATAGAAACTTTTCTTCAAGTGCCACCAATGTCATAGAGTATAGCTGGAGCATTTTCTCTAAATCAATGTTTCTATGATACTAATCTGAAATTAAAATTTTTTGTCTCAGTTCACTTTGATTATCCAGGTTATGGAAATCAGCATTAAAATATGGTTTATTTCCAGCTAACATGTTCTTGTTGTTCATGTTTTGACTCATCTCAAAGGATACGAAAAAGTAAAGCAGTGAATAACAAGGAAGTTGAGACTCCCTAACACCCCAAAATCTCATATAATGATAAAAAAGAAAATCAAGTTTTTAAACATTTTCCTAGTACCTATTGTTTATGCTTAAAAATAAGAGCACAAGTAAAGCACTAGTTATAATGAAATAATCTAGAATCAGCAATCAAGAAAAGCATATTTGGTTTCTTAAAATTTTCAACTATTATGTTTTAAGGAAACATGTTAAAGTGAAAATATGTTAGGTTAAAGGAAAACTTGTCAATGCTTTGGTCAATTATTCTCTTAAAAATAGTTAATTTATAAAATAGAAAGATTTTATAAAATTCTACTGTATCAACATCCTTTTAATTTTATAGCATTTCATACCAGGCTTTTGAGACCATGCTGAAAACGATATCATATTATTTCATTTGTAATAATCTTACAATCATCAAAAGGAAATAAAATAATTGAACAATTGTAAATTATTCAATATTACAGTCAAAAATTATTTGTTCAAGATCTGAACATCTCATTGGATTAAGGAGAGTTGTTTATAATTAGGGAGATGGTATGGGAAAAGCTTGTTTCAGTATTTGCTATAAACTAATAAAATACAATCTTATTTATGCTTATTAAAAACAATTATTGCTTACTTGTGCTCTATCAATTTGGATACCAGCTGATGAAATGAATTTATTAAATAAGCGCTTTAATTATCCAATAAAAAATATTCTTTTTTCATAATGTATTTTCATATATAAAACTAAAATTAAAATCTTACTTCTCTAGTGCCTTAAAAAAAAATCCAAAAAACCATCTGTGAATATTTAAAAATAAGGGAAATATATAAAAGGCATATTCTAGAAATAAGAAAACCAAAAATGAATAACAATATAATTATTTTATATAATCCCATACAATGAGATTTTATTTATTTTGAAACATTCATATTTCTCTTTTCTTTTTTTACTCTTAAGTTTATAAAGAATTTAAGAATTATAACCAATACATATATTGTAATTAATAAAAATCAGAATCTATTTGAAAGAGTCTCTTCTCATTTTTCAAAATAAATTTTGTGAATTCCAACAACAATTATAAAAATTGATTTATAAAGAAATTTATATTTTTAAAATTGTTTTGTAGGGTTTGAGCAATCAAAACAGATATAAATCAATTGATAAAATAATTAATGTATTAATATTAGAAAAAATAATAACAAATGTGTTCATAACTATTAATTAATTAATAGAATTTGTTGTAATAATAACAAATATTAGTGAAAAAAACTTTAAATTATTTTTTTTTCAAATTGTAATTATAAATTTCCCATTTTAATTTGGCTAAAGTTGGCACTAATATTTTTATTAATTATAGCTGCTCAGATAGTTTTCATGATGTAGCAGTTATAAATAATAAAAAATAAAATCTTAATGCGAGACTGAAATGGGACGGAAGAAGAGAGGCCTTCCCTGGTAGAAGGGTTATGGGGTTATTTTATTTTATTAAGGGTC